CCGGCAAACAGCAAAACCACCTACATGATCAAAAGTGAATGGCAATGACGGGGTTCAAACGTCGAATCTTAGAGTTCGGAGCATGTCAATGACAGCGAGTTGGTCATCATCATCATCATCATCATACCAGAAGGTGATTATCTCCAACCCAAATTATTCACGGAGTAAAATCAATAATATCTATCACCAGGATATTAAAGTCAAAGCTAATTGGTTACTCACCTCCCTGTTGAATAATGCGATGCAAATATTCACCGACCAAATTGCGGAGAGCACGTTTTTTAGGCGGCCCGAGCCGATGCGGGAAGACGACCGAGGTGTCCACAACTTTCGAATGAATCAATTTCAGCGCGGTCAAATCGGAATCCAGACTGTGCCCGATCAGAATGGAGTCGGAGTCGAATAGATGCAACAATTTGGACTGCACGTCAGTAATTCGCATTTCAGCCGCCTCGACCTGTTCCACAGTAAGACCGGAAAACCGTGTGTTACAATCGAGGACCATGTGATCCGGTCGAACCACACAGTCCATGATCGTGCGCAGTCGAGCGTCCACAATTGTGCATCGAGCCAATTCACAACCAGCCGTGGTGTAGACCATTTCACAATCCAATGCGTAAATATTGACCGCCGGTCGATCTGACTCGGATCCGTCTGCATCCTCGTCCCCCTTGTCACGGTTGGTCAAACTGGACGGGAGCGGTGGAAGTGTGGTGACAAATCCCTCGTTATCTAACCACTTGTTAGCTTCATGCACGTGCCCAGTAGGACAGATTTGACAGCCAGGTTGACCGACTTCGCTTTGACAACAAGGATAACGCAAATCGATACCAATACCGGGAGCTGTATCGATGGGCCAGAGGAGAATAGGACCAGAGTAGAGAATGCAACCAAACCGGGCAACGAACAACGAGAGATGATCAAATTAGAAATGTGGAAAAAAACGTTTTAATCCGCGCTAAAACTAACATGAATAAATAACAAATAACATTCTAGAGAATGTTATGTGTAGTTGATATAGGACACAGTGGGTTTAGTAAACAAGTGTTGCTATTCGCATCGAACAAAATTGGAATAGGTATACAGCGTGGTCATCAATTCTGGGATACAAAAGTGGTGTCTGAGTAAATTTTAATTGGTAACTCTGGACAGGTCCGGTGAGAGTTGTCTGGCTCAGTGGTCACACACATACACACCCATGACTTCAATGAAATGGGATAGCAGTTCAAAATCTGGTGGATACGCCTTAATGATTAGCTATGATGGGAGTGGCCTCCAAAAGCCTCACTATCGTCGGAGGTGGGTGTCTAGGGTTGCGGCTGGTTACCCTTCCATTGCACCTCACGAAATGCTCCCATACGACCAAGCGTCTGAAATAGCCTCTGTTGAGGAAGCCTTACTCATTGCCTTCTCATGCCGGAGGTGTTTTCCCACTAGAGTGAGAGGAAGAAAAGCCAAGATCCGGGTTGGTGGACTACTGGTAGTTCACCTAGGGGAGTTGGCCAAAAATCCCGATTCCAAACTAACCAAGAGGAGGCATAAGAACCACACCGACACCTTCCCGGCTGTGATAGTGATCACCGGCTCGATTAACCACTGAGATGTATTAGACACCCTGGACGTTTGACCCCGTCCAAAGGGTGTATGATCCGACGAACTGGACACCGGCTCCCAATGGATTGCGGTTTTCGTATACCGCCCCGCTGCCTTGCGGGTCAGGCTTTGGTTAACCAAAGGCTCCAGTTGTGGATTCCTCAAGAAAATTCACGTGCCTTGGCCTGGGTAACCTGGCAGTATTCCGCTCACATGCAAATCACGGAATGTTTTTCTTTTTATAAATTTTATTGTACCATGATTTGTTTGGTACACAGTCTGGCTTTAGATATGTGTGAAAATATAATATTGATGGGAGTGAAACTCGGGTCCAGTGCAGCCCGGACTCACGGGATGAAGTGAGAACCGTGCGTGAGAATGTCTGAATTCTGAACGACGATCAGTCCACATCAAGATCTCAACAAGAGCCAATATCGGAATTTCGTTCTTGTGGGGCAGTTCTGGTCCACATAAAACACACGAACACATACAGGCTATCTCGCTCCGGTTTGCTCTGCGCTGACTACAAAATAAACGGTATTCTGATATTTAAGGAGACCTACTTCGGTGTTCCAGCACTGAGGGTTACGCTGCGCAATGCGGATGAGTTTGGACGTTTTGTTTAATGAAGGTGGCTGAGGTCGACAAAACCATACACAGTAATGGAGAAGTTAGGCGATGGTGATATGATGTGAACACATGGTTTCAGAACCGATGTGATGTTAAAGGAGAATAGCATTGAACTCAATGTTTCTAAATGACAAGTTCTACTATCCCGATGCGACAGCGGTAGATTGCCGTATTTCCTCGGAAATTGGCAGCTGCCACATACCTCAAGTGAGGAGGAGCTAGATATAATTGTTTAAGAAGACTTAAGCTGTTCTATTAACTGTGCGAGGGCTTCATCGGCAGCCTAGGTGAATATCGATTTGCTCCGGCTTAAATCAACACTGTTCCCACGTTTGCTACCAGTGTACAGAGAGAGAGATTACAGTCATTAAGTTTATATTCCACTCAGTACAGTTGAATTGGAGGAGATTCGATCTTGATGTACCAAACATTGCTGAACCCAAACCATCCATGTCAGCCACCTCCTCACGTTGTCGCCCGAAATCCCCACCTCAAAGGAGATAATTTCATTTAAGTGCTTCTAAAGTGGCCACTGGAATGCTCGTGTCAATCTTCTGCCGTCAGAGTGTGCACCACTTGGAACACCCTTCCATTTCACACCGTCCTGCTCCAATTGTTGAACCGTTTCAGTGGAGACTTGAAATGAAATCCTGCCATATCTCACATTTCTACATTACTATAAAAACGCAAAACATTTGAAATCTACAGAAATTGCTCGGAACCATATATGACTTTTCTCGTTGCGCGCCAAGAAACGATTCAATTGTGTAAATATCCTATGGGGACAAGAGCAGCATAAGCTTGTAAGTACTTCCAGAAACAAAATTTTGACTGCGAATTTTTTCCTTCATAAGACATGTTTTGGAGACATTATAAAGCGCCTTCCAGTTCCGGGAATCTTTATGGATACGCACCAAAGGGGCTGATATATACTCAACCAGCACATGATGGTACGAATGTATGCA